TCCCCCTGTCCATTTTCTCCCCACTGTTTGTGCTACTTATTCTCTGTACCTTCTCCCCTGTTCTCCTCCTCTCACTCCCCTGTTGCTAAGCCTCCATGTGATCTCCATTTCTGTGGTTCTGCTCCTGATCTGGCTGTCCTCTTAATTTGCTTTTGTTTTGGGTGTGGTTGTTAATAACTGTGAGTTTGCTGTCCTTTCACTGTTCATCTTTTTTATCTTCTTTTTCTTAGATAAGCCCCTTCAACATTTCATATAATAAGGGCTTGGTGATGATGTAGTCCTTGAATTTGATCTTATCTGAGAAGCACTTTATCTGTCCTTCTATTCTAAATGAAAGCTTTGCTGGATAGAGCAATCTTGGTTGTAGGTCTTTGGTTTTTATGACTTGGAATAGTTCCTTCCAGCCCCTTCTCGCCTGTAAGGTCTCTTTTGAGAAATCCGCTGACAGTCTGATGGGAACTCCTTTGTAGGTGACTCTCCCCTTATCTCTTGCTGCTTCTAGGATTCTCTCCTTCATTTTAATTTTGGCTAATGTAATGATGATGTGCCTTGGTGTGTTTCTTCCTGGGTCCAACTTCTTTGGGACTCTCTGAGCTTCCTGGATTTCTTGGAAGTCTATTTCCTTTGCCAGATTGGGGAAATTCTCCTTTATTATTTGTTCAAATAAGTTTTCCACTCGTGGCTGTTTCTCTTCTCCTTCTGGTACCCCTATAATTCGGATGTTGGAACATTTAAAGATGTCCTGAAGGTTCCTAAGCCTCTCCTCATTTTTTTTGAATTCTTGTTTCTTCATTCTTTTCTGTTTGGTTGTTTCTTTCTTCCTTCTGGTCCACTCCATTGATTTGAGTCCCAGTTTTCTTCCCATCACTATGGGTTCCCTGTGCATTTTCCTTCATTTCAATTAGTTTAACCTTTATTTGTTCCTCTAATTTTCAACCAGAATCAACCAGTTCTGTGAGCATCCTGATTACCAATGTTTTGAACTGTGCATCTGATAGGTTGGCTATCTCTTGGTCGCTTGAAAGTATTGACTCTGGGGCTTTGATTTGTTCTGTTTGAGCCATAATTTTTTGGTCTGGTCACAGTGGTTGCGTATGAGGGGTGGAGCCTCAGGTGTTCACCAGGGCGGGGCAACCCACATTGCTGGGTTGTGACACTATATGTGGGAGTGGGGTCAGAGAGGGAGCAATGGCACTTGTTCCTCTCTCTCAGATTTTGGTCCCCCTCTGCTGCTTCCCACAAGCAAATTGGGCCCTTCTGGTATTGGCTCTCAGGTGTGTGGGCTTGTGTACATTCTAGGACCCTGTGGGTCTCCCCAACAAACTCTCCTGTGAGGCTGGGAGCCTCTCCAGGCACCTCAACCCTCGAAAGTTTTTCCAATTGGTGCTTTTAGGCTTTATTTCCTAGTGCTGGGGCCCTGGGTTGCATGGTCTGTCTTACTGCCCGTTTTTTGTTGTTTTTTTTTTTGCCTGGTTTATCTGCGTGTGAATGTGTGACCGAGGTCAGCCAACCTCCTTTCGAGCCTTACTGGGTTTTTGTCCCATGCCCGCCCAGGTCTGCTAACCACCGCCTTTTCCTGCTGGGATGCCTCTCCGCCTCTCTTACCGGTCTGGTTGAATAGTTCATTGTTGTAGGACTTCGGTACAGTTCAATTTTCTGTCTGTTTTGGTTGTATTTTTGTTTCTAAATATCTGTTGCCCTTAAATTTGGTTGTGGGAGGAGGTTCAGTGTTTCCATCTATGCCTCCATTTTGGCTGGAAGTCCCTGGTTTTCTTTTTTTAATTGTATGTTTTTATTACTATTAATTCCCCCATACCCTCTTCCACCTCTACCCACCTGCCTTCCTCACATAATCACCATACTGTCATCCGTGGGTTCTTTCTCTTTTGTTCTCTGTCTCTCCATCCTCCAACTATTCCCACCCCACCAACCCCTTTCTCTACCCTCCCCCAAGCTGTCCTGCTGTCTATGAGTCTGTTTATAATTTTGTTGTTCAGTTTTTTCATTAGATTCCACATAGTTTGTTTTTTTGTGATATTATATCTTTCAAAAAGGCATAATCTATATAGATGCTATCTTAAGTCTTTTTTCTTTTAGCTTTCATTCGATGTAGTTGAGAGTTTACATTTTTTTCCTGCTCATAATGATAAAGAAATGAAAATTGACTGGAAAATTGTGTACTATTTTTGGTAAAATCAGAAGATGAACATAAAAATAGACAGCAACACTCTAGACTCTAATTATGATGGTTAACTTGAGTCAGTGACATCCTACATTAATTTTCCCAAACCAAAGTAATATCGAGTTAATTATTTCTTTCTAAGGAAAAAAAATGTGCTATTTTCATCCTTGTAGTCATTTAGCAAGGTCTTCATTATGCAGTATTTTATGACTAGAATCATCACATTTTCATCTTTTATGATGTTTGTGCACCAAAAATCACTTGAAATGATTATTCATAAGTGGACAAATCTTGAAGTCTGATGTGTGTACAGAAGTGCTTGCAAGGAAATAGATGCTGTAAGAAATGAAAAAATTAATTGGATTCATCATTTATTTGGTGTTTATAGCCAGATATGAAAATATTTTTTGCAATTATGTACCAGAGGTGGCCATTTTTCAACAAAATTCTGAAACACCCAAAATTTCAAAAGTATTGCATTTTGAACATGTAAGTACAAGAAACAGAAGTAATATGCTAGAATCTGTTAAATATGTATATGAAATCTGGAATCACTATTGCCTTTTTGACAGTAATATATAAGAAAAAGAACCAGAAGTAATAATAAAGTAGAACATTTTACAAATTGTAAACCAAGAAGCAATATTTACAGATAGATATTTTAGTTTTATGCATGACAGTTGAAAATTAGTTCCATTCCAGAGATCTTGACCATTTTAGTATATTTACCTTCAAAACCAGGAATATTTGAATATACTAAATATAATATGTATTATATATATATATATGATACAGAAAATTTGAGTTTGCTATCATTTTCACATACAGTGGTTTGTAAGCTGTTGTTGGTTGAGTTTTGGTGTTTTTCTTTATGTTTTATTTTCAACTTTTATAAAAACCAAGTATAAAATTTTTTCCTACTTAATTTTGAAACTGATAGCTGAGCTTATGCAGTTTTCACTTTGACTGCCAGATTTCTCTAGCATCTATATTTTACCTTGTTCTTGACAAGTTTGCATACAGCTGGTAGACTCATCAGCTGACATGCAGTGACTACTTTGGAAAGATAACATGGAAGAAGGCCCCAGTAGTGGGTGGGTAGAAGTTCAGGTAGTTGAATAGACTAGGATCTGGGAAGGCCTGGAATCATACTCTGATATTCTTGGCACAGTTTGTTCAGCAACTGTTTTTTTCTTTTCAACAAATGTTTACTGAGTACTTGTTTTGTGTCTGACATTGTGCCTATCATGGTAATACAGAAAATAAGTTTCTAGGTCCCCAGTAGGGGCCTTAAGGAAGTCATAACCTAGAAGAGATACAGACCTTTAAGTAATGTTAAGTGCAGTCTGTGGTCTAAATATATAGAAAGTATAGAGATCTTGCAGAAGGAGAGAATGATGAATTCTTTTAGATAACATCTGAGCTAGATTTTGAAGGTAGAATATGAGTTTGTCAGAGGGTATATTATAGGTAGTGGATCATAGGGTGGCTATTACAGGTTAGGAGATCAGCATGTAGAGCAGACACAAGTGTATAAAAGGACATGGCATGTTTAAGGAACAGTGAGCAAATAATTCATACTAGGCACAAAGTGTGAGGATTGGTAGATGAGAACTCATGGACAGATATTGCCTGAAAAAGTAGACTGGGAAGATTAATAAAATAATGAGGCAAAGACTAAACTTTAATACTGTCACTGAGATTATTGTATAACCAGGACATGCATTGTATTTGTTTCTGAAATGTGTATCTTCCTCCCTCCCTTCTTTCCTTCTTTACTCTCTCTTTCCTGTCTTACCCTCCCTTCCTTTCTTACTCTCCTGTGCATGTGTATGCATGCATGTGTGTGTAGACAGGATAACTGAGGAAGAAAGGAACTAAGACCTTGATTCACGACCTGGCTCTCATATCCTTGGATGAGCAAACCACTTATCTCTGAGCTTTGGTCTCCTCATCTATATAATGAAACTTTATGTATAGCAAACTTTATGATCTATGCCTTTCAAAATATTTTTTCAGGCAGTCACAATTTCTGAGTGCCTAGAACACAGTAGATGCTCATATGTATTTTTGAAAGAGTGGGTTTGAGAACTTATATCAAAAAGTAAGATTTCCTGGCTGATGTTGCTCAGTGGATTGAGTGCCCACCTGGGAACCAAAGGGTCACTGGGTTCAATTCCCAGTCAGGGCTCATGCCTAGGTTGTAGGCCAGGTCCCCAGTAGGGGCTGTGTGAGAAGAAACCACACATTAATGTTTCTTTCCCTCCCTTTCTCCCTCCCTTCCCCTTTCTCTAAAAATAAATAAATAAAATTTTTTTTTTTTTTTAAGTAAGATCTATGTGCAGACCATTGCTTCCCAGGATACACTTACTCATAAAATATGTTCAAACAGTTTGTCATTATAAATTATTTCACTTACCATTTGGATTTATGAGGTCTTGGGGTGCAGAAATTACAGTATCTTTATACATAAAATTTTATTAGTCTTGAATGTCATATGCTGTTGTAGTTTTATGTGTTCAATGAAAAGTTAGCATATATTTTAAAATGTGTTCAGTTGATCATTTCTCTTTTTGTCTGTGGCAGGAGTTCTTGAACTTGGCTTCCTTAGTTTGTGATTTTTTTGTCTTTAGCAATCTAGTTATAAGTGGACTTTCTTTTTCATATGAACTTGTTCAAAACTAGTCTTTCTCTCAGGTTACATTTGTTATATCTGCAAAAATACAATCCTTCTGAAGCAGAGGATTGTAACAATCCATTTTAATGTTACAGAGTTGCTGTGATATACTGTTAATATAATTTATTTCTTTACCTTTAGGGATCTTATTGGGCAATAGACACCAATCCGAAGGAAGATGTGCTGCCTACTCGGCCAAAGAAGAGGGCACGATCTGTCGAACGGGTAAAAGCTCTTTATTTAGTTTGTGACAACGTTATTATGTCAGAAATACAGATTTTAAAAGTTCATTTCCAGTATAGATGAAGGCAGTGTGTTAATCTGTATAGCATTATCTGGTTTTTTTTTGAAGCATTTTCAAATTTGTTATTTGATCTTAACATCTCTGAGTGAGGTGGGATTTTTTAGGAATTAAGTAAAAAGTGTTTTTTGTTTGTTTTTTTCTGTAATTTAGGCACAGCTGTTGTCTGAGACTTGAATCCAGGTCTCTTTAATTTTAATTTTGAACTCTTTTCTCTGGCATCTACAACATTGAAGACTGGTTTTAGTTAACAAAACTATTCCCTTTCACTGCTTATACTCTAATTACATTGAATTCTCCTGACTGTCTTTAAAATGCTTTTTCTGCTTCCAACCATGTAATAATTATTTTATACACAAAATCTCTTAAGTGTATGTGAGATAATTCTTACTTGGTTAAAAATTAATTTGCAAGAATGAAGGAGATAAAGGACCTCTAGTTGGTATCCGAAGTTGTTTATTGTGACAAGTTTAGTCAGCACTTAGGCTGTCACCAGACATTAACTTTACCTTTCGGCTTTCTCATTGTACATTTCCAGCATCTCAGCTCACACACACACACACACACACACACACACACACACACACACACACCCACACACACACCCACATTCTAACCTACTATTCCATTTTAAATGCTAACTACATCGTGAAGCTTTGCCTCATTTACTCATTTGCATTCTTGCAGAGTTCTTATCATGTTTTTAATAGGCTTTCTCACAATTTGTAGAAATCTCTTAAGTGTGTGTGCTGTGATCCTGTTAATGTTTCTTTCATATCTTGGTTGTTATAAAAAATTTTTCACTGAACATATGGATGTATATGTTGTTTTGTTGTAAAGTTTTGGGTTTCTTTGGATAAGTACCCAGGAGTGGAATTGCTGGATTCTTCTTTGTCTCTTGCTGTAGCTTTTGTTGTAAAGTCTATTTTTTTCTGGAGTGAATACTGCTCCCCTAGTGGGTTGTTTTTTTTTTAATGAAATAACTTTTCTATCCCTTTTTTTCTGTCTGTGTGCATCTTTTGATCAGAGGTGAGTCTCTTGTAGACAGCATATGTAAGGGTCTCGTTTTGTTATCCATTTAGCACCATATATTTTTTTATTGGAGCATTTAACCCATTTGAATTCAAAGTAATTGTTGATAGATATATATTTATTTCCATTTTATTCATATTTTTATTTTTCTCCTTCTTAAACCCTTTAACATTTCTTATATTAGTTTGGTGATGGTGAACTCCTTTGGCTTTTTCTCATCTGGGAAACTCTTTATCTGACCTTTGATGCTAAATGATAGCTTTCTTGGTAGAGTAATCTTGGTTGTAGGTTCTTGTTTTTTATCACTTTGAATATTGCTTGCCAGTCCCTTCTAGCCTGCAAAGTTTCTGTTGAAATATTAGCTGATAGTCTAATGGCAGTTCCTTTGTAAGTGACTAACTGCTTTTCTCCTGTTGCTTTTAAGATTCTTTGTCTTTAGCATTTTAATTATGATGTGACATGAAGTGGGCCACTTTGAGTTTATCTTGTTTGGGATTCTCTGCACTTTCTGGACTAGTATGTCTATTTCCTTCACCAGGTTAGGCAAGTTTTATATCATTTTTTCAAATAGGTTTTAGATTCCTTGCTCCGTCTCTTCTCTTTCTGTCACCCCCCATGATACAAATGCTTGTTCACTTGAAGTTGTCCCAGAGGCCTCTTACACTATCCTCATTTTTATTGATTCTTTTTTCTTTCCGCTGTTCAGATTAGGTGTTTTTCAGCTTTTTTATCTTCCAAATTGCTGATTTTACCCTCTGCTTCCTCTACTTTCTGTTGACTCTTTGTAATGAATTCTCATTTCAGGTATTTTATTCTTTATTTCTGACTGGTTCTTTATGTTTTTTTTATCTCCATTTTGTTTCCTGTCTCTTTGTTGAATTTTATGCTAAGTCCATTGACTCTTCCTGTAAGTTCATTGAGCATCCTTATAACCAGTGTTTTGAACTCTGAATCTGATAGGTTGTTTGTCTCCATTTTATTTCTTTCTTTCTGGAGTTTTGTTGTGTTCTTTCATTTGGGATATGTTTCTTTGTCTCCTCATTTTGGCTGCCTTCCTATGTTTGTTTCTATCTATTAGGTAGAGCTACTGTATCTCCCAATCCTGGTAGAGTGGCCTTATATACTAGGTGTCCAGTAGGGCCCAGTGGCATAGCCTCCCCAGTCACCTAGCTGGGCATGCCAGGTGTTTTCCCCATGTGGGCTTTGTATACCCTCCTGTTGGAATTGAGCCTTGATTGCTGTTCACATGTCATGGGAGGGATTTACCCCCAGGTTGATCTGCTGCCTGGACTGGCCTTATCTACAGCAGATAAGATGCTATGCGGAGGCCAAGATCATAGGGCAGGATTTGCTTCGAGTAGACTCTGATGCCAGATGAGTCTGCTTCTTGAGTGTGTTGCTGGTAAAGGCGATTGGATGGTGCTCTTGTGTGGCCTGAAGCTGTCCACCAGGTGTGCTAGCTTTGGGGCCTCCTGGGAGGTGTGGGAGTCAGCTGACTCTTTGCTCTGTCCAGGGCCACCCCGCATGACCTGCAGAGCAATCTGTAGATGGCTGCTGCTTGTTGTGGGCTTGGAGGTGCTAAGGAGAAGCCAAGCTGCAAATTGAGGCTTGCAGGTTTATGGCTGCCCCTAGTGCTGGGCCTGGGGCCACTTAGCAAGAGGTATGGGGCATGCTCTGGCAAGATACTTCTTATTTAGGGTTTGAGAGATTTTAGGAAATTTGAGAGCATGAGACAAGACAGGCCATTTGTATGAAATAAGCTACTAGAAAGGGTTTGGGTTTGGCCTTAGAATCACCATGGTGGCACAAACAGTGTTGGCCGGGTTGATGAAGACTCAGATATGGTGCGCACCTGCTGACTCTTCTGTGGGGAAGCTCATCAGAGGAACAGTGGGCTCTGCCAGCTCTTTTGTCTGAAGGGAAGCTGTCCTTCTAGCCTTTGCCTTAATGCTGGATAATTCAGTTCCTCTCTATATGCGCACGGTGCCTTTCAAGCTCTGCTGCCCCAGCTCTGGAGCTCAGAGTGAGTGAGTTCAAGTAAGTTCATGTCTGGGCCCTTTAAAAGGACTGCCTGCCACTCCAGAAGTCCTCCATTTCACTGAGCCACAATTTGAGCTGGTTTTTCCAGCCAGAAATTATAGGGACTTCTTGGCACTGGAACCCTTGGTGGAGGGACCTGGTGTGGAGCTGGGGCCCGCTGTTCCTCGGGGAGGAACTCCGTAGCCACATGTGAGTGTGGGACCAGCCTGTTCGGCTTCTCTGCCCCTCCTACCCATCTTGATGTGGCTGCTTCTTTATGTCCTTAGCTGTGAGACTTCTGTTCAGCTAGATTTCAGGCAGTTCTGAATGATGGTGGTTCTGTAGTTTAATTACAATTTTGATGTGGTTGTGAGAGGATGTGAGTACCACATTTACCTACTCTTCCATCTTGACCAGAATCTTAACCTTTTGCATTTTGCTTTTTAATTTGGTCTTGTCTGTTCAGTTCAAACAAAGGCTATGTTGCTTTTTTATTAATGAAAAGTGCTCTATCCATTGGAAGCTGCTTAGGGTAGAAAAAAGCAAAATCAGCTCAATATTTTTTTTTCTTTTAGGACTGGCAAGCACTTATACTATTTCAAGGGAACTGGTGTCAAAGAATAGAAGAAAGGGAACAACTGCTTTGAGAGAATGAGTGCTTTTTTTTGTTTACTCTGGGATTTCCTCTCCCTTTTATAAAAAACTTCAAACTTCTGTGTTGGTTATTTTATAATGTTATACATTGCTTTTAGGAACCTGTTCTGCTAAAGTGATTCTCAATGTGTGAGGCCCTTTTAGGAGGTCCACAAGGTCAAAACTTTGTTCATAATAATACCAAGATGTTCCATGACTTTTTTACTTACTAATTTTCCAGAGGTTATATGACCTGTGATTTTATTATAGACCAAATGTGGAGGCAGATATGAGAATCTGATAGTTTTCTATTAAGCCAAATATTAAAGCAGTTTTTAAAAACTATAAAGCAATCCCATTTTTCCAAGTTTTTTTGTTTTGGAGACTATTATTTTCACACAAAACAATATTTAATATGCAGTATATTTGTTATTGTTGATTTTAAGTAAATTAATAAAAATTTTCAGTTTTAAGTTCTAATAGGTAAATATCAATAGGTGCAACTCACATAAAGGAAAGCTCTTTGGGATCCTCAGTTATTTTTTTGTTTTCTCAAAAATTTTATTTAGTTATTTTTCAAGTACAGTTGTTTGCCTGTTTCATCAGTTATTTTTAATAGTGTGAAGAGGTCTTGCAACCAGAGAGTTTGAGAACTATTATATTTAAAAGTTTGAGAACTGTTGTGTTAAAAGAAGATTTTGTATTCATCCCAGGAGACATTTCTTTTGAGAAAGGGAAAGATAATTGTAGTGATTTGAGTTCCCCCAGAAGTAGATAAGGATTGACAGCAGGTAGTTTGAGGGGTGATCCTAGGGAAGTGGGGCAATTATCAAGTCAGTGACCACTGTAAGCTTTTGGAGCTCTGGGGCATTTAGAACTGTGGGCAACAGGCTGGTATATTTATGTATCAACTCTTCCCCCCTTGAATGAGTGATGTTGCTAGGGACATGAGCTTTTCTGAATTTCTGGCATGCCCTGCAGAGAGCCAAAGCATCTTCCCCAACAAGAAAAAACCTTCAGGCAGAGAGTTGCAGGTGTTTGTGGTAAGCAGCCTTCAGAGTGTAGGAATGAACGCAGAGGGAATATGGTTATATTCTGACTGTGTTTGCTATAAGTCTTGTGTTTTCTGTTGGTGGAGTGTGTGTGGGTGGGTTTTCAGATCTGTGTGTATCCTTGCCTTTTATTTTTCACAGCCTCCTGCATTTATTTCCATAGCCTTTGACTTAGTTCTTAAATTGGATGCTATCCCTACCCTAAATACTAGAAATCCTTTAAAAAAACCTCTTGTCTTTTCAGGGTGTGCATGGGTATAATAGTATTCTTCTTAAATTACTACACTGAAGGTGTGTCATGTGGAGTATATTGTTCCTTGCAATTCAAAGACTGTTCCTGGTCACCGCTTAGTGTTTGCTTAAGTTCCTCATTCAGGTTTTAAAATACAAGTAAAATTTATTACTTTTAAGGAAGTAGTTGAAAAGGCTGTATGTAACTTGCTTATGGGCTGCAAGGTCACATGTTTACTGTGTTCCTGTTGTATGCTTAGCACAGGTAAAGTGCTTTGAAAGAGTTAGAAATAGGAAATAATGGCCCTGCCAGAAATGTAAAATATCTGAACAGTGGTGAGGATGGAGGGAAGCCAGTGGCAGAAAAGGGAAATTCTGAAACAACAACAACACAATAACAGCCCATTAGATTGTATTATATTTTACCCGCAATTAATGATCTGAAGTTTCTCTGATGGTTTAAGAATGTAGTAAGATTATGAGCAGAACCAAGTCATGTTACAGAGTCTTGAGGTGTCACTTTAAGTACGAGATATAGGGGAGATAACTAATAGCCTGGAAGTTAAGAGACCTCATTTTGAAGTTATATGTTATAACTTAGATGTTTAATTTTTCTGACCATAGTTTTATTATTTGGCCATAGTTTATATATATGTAAGTAGATTGTCAGCTGTATAGGCCTGGGAGAGAATCTCCCACCAGTGTAAAGGCCCTGAGATAGAAACATACTTGGCAGGAGGAACAACAAGAGGCCACTGTGGACAGACTGGTATATGTGAGGAGGGAAGAATAGTAGGACTTACCATTAGAGAAGTAAGCGGTAGGAGCAGGAAGAAAGTGTTTTGGGGCTTTGTATGCCTTTATAATGAGTTGGGTTTTATTCTGAGGAAGGTGGAAAACCATTGGAGGGATATAAGCAAAGCGTGACCTAATGTTAACATTTTAATAGGATCACTCTAGCTCCTATGTGGGATAGAAGCTGTAAAAGGGTGGAAGCAGGCAGATCAAGAGGAAATTGCCAGTAGTTCTGCTTAACTCTTCTAATACATTGTGTGGAAGTTATTTGAGGGAGTAAAGGCCAGATAGCTGTGTATAAAATCACTGTTCTAAATATATTGGCCTCTGCAAAAAACACATAATTTGCAATTATCCAACTTTTGGGGGACAAAAATGAGGAAATACACATTGATTTTTCTTTTAGTAAGAGCTAAATCGTGTGTTATAGTTCAAAGATGATTAAAAATTTAATCAGTAGGATAACTAGAGGATGGATGGGTAAAATAGAGGATAGTCTTTCAGACAGGATACTGTCCATCTTGCTACATATTTGAGATTGTTGTGCTATTTGTGTCTCAATTTCTTCCATTGTTATACAGCATGGTCTTGTAGATTAAGTGATGCCCCACTGTGTACTTTCCTTCTCTGAGTCTGAGTCTGAGTGAGGGTTAAATATTCAAGTGAGCAAAGGAAGGAGTGCAATCTATGTTCCTACTCTCAGAACTCATAGAGCTGAAAAAGCACTTGGCAAACGTGTGCTGAGTGTACATTATGTGGGAGGTACTACATGTTCCCTAGAGGAGATATATGTACATAGAATTTTCTGGAAACTTTTAAGTTGGAGGAAACCTATTTAATGAAGAGCTATAGACCAGAAAGTATTTCATGAAGGATCATTTTGATGAATGGGTAGTATTTAGTTGTTTGTTTTTTAATACTTGAGAGATAGTCTATATACAGTTAATTGAATATTTAAAGTTTATAATTTGAGGAGTTTTGACATGTGAAATTATCACCAGTGTCAAATGAACATTTCTGTCACTCCCCAAAGTTTTCTCATGCCCCTTTGTGATTCATGCCTCCTTCTGTTCTCATCCTCTGGCAACCCTGTTTTGGGGAGATTAACATCTTAACAATATTGATTATTCCAAGCCATGAAAATATACTGTCTCTTTATTCATTAGGTCTTTATTCCTCTCAGAAATGTTTTAGTTTTCAGTGTCGAGGACTTGGATATTTCTAGTTAGACTTAATCCTGAATATTTTGTTTTTGGATGCTATGAACACTTCTTAAATCTATTTTCCAGGTGCTTGCTGCTAGTAATATAAAAATGTAATTAATTTTTTACATTATATAATTGTATTTTCTAATATTGTTCTAGTCATTGTTTTGAAGATGCCTTGGGATTTTGTATATAAGCAATCATTTCATCTGCAGAGAGACAGTTTTCTTGTTCTTCCCCTTCCGTCTGTCTCCCCACGTTACTGCAGTGACTCGAATCTCCAGTACAGTGTTGAATAGGAGTGTTGTAAAAGGCATCCTTGCCTTTTTCATTCTGAAGGGGAAAATGTTCAGTCTCTCACCCCTAAGTGTGACATGAACTGTAGGTCTTCTGTAGATGCCTTTTTTCTGATTGAGGACATTCTTTAGTAAGCCTTGTTTGAGGTTATACCTAAAAAGCCAATAGATAAATTAGAATACTAAAATATATCTAAATAATCTAAAAGTAGAGAGGGAAATGGTAGAAGATAAGACTAAAAACATAGAAGTGAAGCAAAAACAGTTTAGATCTAAATCTAACAATATCAACAGTTGCATTAATGTTAAAATGTCTAAACACAGCAATAAAAAGGCAGAGATTGTCAGATGCTAAAAAAAGCGAGACTCAGCTAAATGACTATAAGAGTCAAAACTTGAAATACACAGACACAGATGAATTGAAAGTAATACATAGAAAAATGTATACTGTTCAAACAGTAAGCATAAAGCTGCAATGACAATGGTAACATCAGATACAGGACTTTTAAGGCAGAGTATATCAGAAGTTTTAAAAACATTTGATAAAGGCATAATCGATAAAGAGATAATTTATAAATGTGAATGTGACTAATAACAGAGCTTCAAAATACTAGAAGCAAGAACTGATAAAAACCAGTAAAGAACATTGCAATACATTATCAAATGTCTTGATCTAATTGATATTAGACAACACTATACCAAACAACTGTAGAATACCTATTCTTTTCAAATGCACACATTCACTAAGACATAGCACATGTTGAGCTGCAAAACAAGTCTCAGTAAATATGTAAAGATTGAGTAATTTGCATGAAATCACACAACACAGTCATGGCTCTTCCTACCAGTGGTGATTAGTGAGAATTAAATAGTGAAACAGTAGTCTGGACTGCAGTGACTGATTTGGAGTAGAGAAACTTGAGATTTGTAGCTGTCTAAAGTAAATCTTACGTGAATTTAGGTATAGCTGTGTTGGTTGGCACCAAAATTGAGGCATAGACTCCTTTGTAGTTCTTCCACTTGTCTTTTTGAAGCCCCTTTCCATTTTCATCTCACTCTGATTGTGTACCCCACACCTCAGTGCTAGGTTCTGCCTTCTAGGGGTGACCCTTGTCTTATCCTTTTTCCATTTCAGTCAAGATGCCTCTTCCCTACCCTTGTGGATGACCTGATGAAAAAAAATTTTATTCTGAGGAATTAAGTGATAGATTAATCTTAGAAATATGCCTCACTGATATTGCTCTTTCTCATCCAATATGATCTTTTAAAAATGTGTGTTTGATTGGGATTGTATAGGACAAATATTTTTTGACAGAGAGGGAATATAGACGGAATTAGCATAGGCACAAATGATTTATATCTGTCCTTCTTTAACTTTCACCATTGAAGTTAAAAACTCTCTTAAAGGCTCACCAAAGCAGTAAAAACTTTCTCTAGAGAGTTGTCACAATATCCAAAATTCCAGACGTGGAAAACCTTCTATTACTGATCTTGACATCCATGCTGGTTTTATAGACAGTGTATATGAAGTTGTGTTATTTAGGATATTGTTCAATTGCACTAACAGACAATGGAGGGGGGGAAAAATCCTGAGATTTCTAAACCAGGGAGATTTATTTCTGTTAGGTGGTAAAAGTGCGAGTTGATAGTGGATCAGACAGATAACCAGCTCTGTTCCACAGGTCATTCAGATATCCATGCTTCTAATCTTGCCTTTTCCAGGTCCCCCATTAGTTTAAGTTCATTTTCAGAAACAGAGTACAGAACTGGATGTTGGAGAATTTGATGAAGTACTTTCAAATTGTGTTAAAGTTGCTGGATATACAAGCTAATAATTATTTATTTTGTTCTTATATTTTAGGCTTCAACTCCATATAGCATAGATTCAGATTCTTTGGGAATGGAGTGTATAATTTCGGGAAGTGCCTCTCCAACTCTGGCAATCAACACTGTGACTAACAAAGTAATTACATTTTTAAAAACACTTTTGAAATGTCATTATTACATTTAATTTGCCTTTAAAATAACAATAGAGTTCTATATGGTTGAGTTTAAAGGTGATACGAATTCACCTAGGCCATGTATGGCGGCATGAAAGTGGAATCTGTAGTATTCTGGGGTTTGCATGAGTTAGAGGAAAAGTTTTCTCTGGAAAAATTGGAAGAGTATATTGGGAAGTTCTATATTAAATTCTTGACACTGCCCGCTGTCATTGATAGAATTTTTGAGCCAGCATTTTATTGTATCAGTTTGTTTCAAATCATTGATTACCCCTGCAAATATATGGGGGGGAAAAAAAAAAGATCGTCAAACCCCCAGGGAGTCAACAGAATCAAAGTAAGTAACTAGGACAAACTCACAGAGTTTATTGGAAAGGTGGTCAACCTATTTCAAGATATTCGGGTCTAGGGACATGCCCAGAATTAGTGTAGGATAGTTTGCTGCAATTTTCTCTTTCTTTCTTTCTTTTTTTTTGTTTTTTGTTTTTTGAAGCAAGAGTTAAAACTTTGTCAACTCATTAGATACCTAGTGGGATACAAATGTCTCTTCTTTACAAGGTAATTTCATAACCTCATATCTCAAAATCCTAAAATGGCTCCGGAAGATTCGCGAAGTAACTCAGTCCTATGCATCTGTTTCCTTGGTTACTGGACTGTAAGCACCGTGAAGCCATACACTTCTCACACCCATGCTTCCTTGCAGGCTTGCTCTCGCCCTCTCCTTTCACCCTCTCCTTTCAGCCTCTCCTTTCACCCTCTCCTTTCACCTTGCTTTCACTGGCACTTGCTTTATCCCGTCTCTCACTCTTCACTCACTCACGATGCACATAAATACAAATACACATATATATACAGAATTGCACTAATATAGTATACATAGGAATTTTATTTGTAGAATGGTAAAGAATAAATTGAAGACATTAGAATGACTAATTAGATTTCCAGTTTAGACAGGAAACTACCAGCTAAGCTGTAAAGTGATTTTTTTTCCCAAGTAGCAGTCTGTGGGATGATTTCATCACAATCATTTATGGAGGGGTGTGTTAGGGGGGTGGGGGTAGGTAATTCCCAGATTCCACTATAGGCCTGTCAAATACGTTACTTTATCCTTGTGGATAGGGCCCAAGAATCTGTACTTTAAAAGTCATCCCTAATGATGCCAAGCTTAACCTGAGAATTTCTGGTGAAACAAGTGCGTTGTAATCAGAAATATCCAAAACTAGTCTCTGCCGTAGTCCAAGTAGGAGATAGGCCTAAACATAGACGGTGGGGGCTGTCAGGAAACAATTAGGAAATAGTAATGCTAGGACTTCCTGACCAAATATGGGAGTCAAAGAAGCTGGAGGTTTTGGACTTCGGCTTCCAGATATAATGGAATAGCTAGACTCAGCTGAACCCTTATGCTTATCTATGTAAAATCCCACCCCACCACCAATAAAAAAGTGGAGGGAGGCATTGGAGAACTAAACCATCAAGATTTCATTGTCCAGGAGCTCAGGAAAAAAGAAGTACATTGAGATAAACCCTGAAAATTTTCCCTTGGGACATTTACCAGTTCTCAGTGCATGACATAGAAGCTGAACACAGAGCAGCAGCCTAGAGCAGTCTTTGAGCTGGGGAAACAAAAACAGGAGTTTGGGAACACCAAGCAGTCAGGGCCCGAGGAGTAAGATCCTGAGAAATCTCAGAAGTGACCTCACCTTTTTGTAAGCAACATCCTCTTTAAGGCATTTGCTAACTCCCTAATCTGTTATGCTTGGGCTCAGACATAGACAAATCAAATAGATTTTTTCACTAGCCAGAATTCAGCAATCTTACCAAGAAGGGAAAGACAGAAATTGTAGTTTGTGGGTCTTTTTTTAATCCTCACCTGGGGACATGCTTATTGATTTTAGAGAAATGGGAAGGGAGGGAGAGAAACATCGACAGGTTGCCTCTCACACAAGGCCCAGTGGGGACTGACCCTGCAACCTTTCTGTTGAGGGGATGACACTCCAACGCACTGGACCACCCACACCAGTCAGGGCTATAGTTTGTGAATCTTTAAGACAGAGGGGGAGCCATGGTAAACACCAAGGCTTTCAAATTGATACCTCAGAAGGGTTATGTTCTGTGAGTAAGAGCAAATCAAAATAGACTAGTCTTGTCCTGGCCAGTGTGGCTCACTTGGTTGAAGCATCATCCCATACACCAAAAGGTTGTGGGTGCAATTCCTGATTAGGGCACATACCTGGGGTTGCAAGTTCTGTCTCTGATCAGGGTATGTATGGGAAGCAACTGATTGATGTTTCTTTCTTACACTGGTGTTCCTCTTTCTCTTCACCTTCCTCTCTCTAAGAGGGATGAAAAAAAAGCTCAGGTGAGGATTTAAAAAAAGAAAAGAAAAGGCTAGTCTTATTGTTATCAGGGTGTTATGCTGATATTCTTCTACTTGCCAAAATCAAACAAAAGTTTTTTTGTGAGAAGATAACATCACCCTGAGCTTTCGTAAGTAAGTTTTTATAAGTAAGGTCTCACCTTCAATCCAAATCTTCAAACATTCTGGGAAACAGGGCCAAATAATTAAATACCAAGGTGGGGGGCGAGGAGTATAAACATCCACAAGTAATCTGTGTTCAAGAAATACATGAATTATTGACGATTTATCAGATTTGTAATTTGTATGGAAGAATGAAAAGGAAACTGTGGAACTGAAAAAAAATAACTGAAATTAAGAATTTGGTGGATGTTTTAAGAGATTAAAACATCAGATGAGAGAGTTAGTGAACTGGAAGATAGATCAATGGAAAATACAGATTGAAACACAAAGAAAGAAAAAACTATGGAAAATTTAGAAAATCTTAAGAAAGAACTGGAATGTGGGGAAAGGTCTAACAAACTTGGCAGGAAAAAGGAATAGAGAAGCAGCAATATTTTCATTTTTTTTTAAACTGAAAAAGTTAACCATACAGATTCAAGAAAGTTCTAAGAACCTTAGGAAGGATTAATGAAAAAATCTTGTTTGGCAAATAAAAATTAAACTGCTAGAAAACAAAGATAAAGGAAAAATCTTAAAATTGGAGGGGGAAAAACAGGCAACTTCAGAGAAGCAACAATAAACCAGACAACAGAATGAAATTTCATGTTTTTTTAAAAAAGATATCTATATCTATCTATCTAACTATCCATCTATCTAATCTATCTTTAGTGGCGGGGAGGGAGAAAGAGTGAAACATCAACGTGTGGTTGCCTCTAGTGCACCCCCTACTGGGGACGTGGTCTGCAACCCAGGCGTGTGCGCTGACTGGGAATTGAACCAGCCATGCTTTGGTTCACAGTCCCACGCTCAGTTCACTGAGCCACACCGGCTGGCGCCCAGAATGAAATTTGTGTAGTGCTGAAAGGAAATACCTGCCAACCTAGAAATCAGTTAAAATTTCTGTAAAATATGAAGGTTTAAATGAGCAGGTTTTTACAAAAATAAAATCTGAGAGATATGTTATTAGTACATCAGTATTAAAAGATTAAAAGTGGGTTAATTTTTCAGATGAAAGGGAAAATTGTCTTGTGAGGGAAGGAATGAAGATCACCAAAAGAGTATGTATGTCAGTAAAAATCTAAGTACGAGTTGATTGTTTAAAACAACAGTGCCATTGTATACCATAATTCCTTTGGGTCTAAAGTACTGTAGAAGTTAACTTCTACAGTTAAATGACAAGGCAGGAGGAAATATATGCAGTTAATGTGTTTGCATTGCATGGAAAGTGGTAAAACTCCTCCCGAGTTCAGGGAATGTTGTAAAGTCTAGGGCAGTCCTTAATACTTCAGTGTACATCAGAATTATAAAGAGCGCTGTCGAAACCCATTTTGCTGTCCGTTCCAATCTCCCCACTCCCCACCCTGAAAATTTTTATTTAGTAGATCTGGATTGGGTCTCAAACTGTGTGTTTCCAACAAGTTTTCAGATACTGGTCGTGTTATAGTCTGGGTTCCATACCTTATGAACCACTGCTCTAGTTTACTACAAGAATAGTAAAAGAATAATAAATAGCAAGTAAGGGAAAACAATAAAGTCCTTGGTTAATTTGAAAACAGGCAAAAAAAAAAGTGGAAAAAATGAACAAAAAAAGAGATGTAAATACAGGAAAACATACTATTTAAATCTAATTGTGTTAGGAAATATAATTAAATTTAAATGCACTGAACATTTAATTTAAAAGCCAAAGATTGTCAGACTGGATAAAAAAACAAAACCCAACTATGTGCTGTTCATAAGAGATATATTTTAAATGAAGGGTCAGCACAAATAAAAGCATTTTATTTTGAAAAGGGATCATTTCAGTAAGAAACTATAACAGTGCTAAATTTGTATATGCCTAATAATAGCTTTGAATGCTGAGAAAACTAAAAAGAGAAATGGACAAATCCTTCACCAAAGAGGTAGATTCGAACACATCTCTTTACAGTTCATAGAAGAAGCAGGTCAAAATCAAAACATGACAAATCAAATAAATTTCATTAAAGACACAGAAGATTTGAACCACAGAATTAGAGAATTTGACCCAGTTGGTTCATACAGAATGTTGTACCCGACACTTGTAGAATATACATAATTAAAGTACAGGTGGAATACTTACCAAAATTGATAATGCAATACCGGTTTATGCTAAACCATAAGGAAGTCTCAGTAAATTTTGGAAGACCAACATTATACAGTATATATTTCCCAACAAAGTGGAATTAAGGTAGAAATACTAGCAAATAGATAATCAGAAAATGCACCAAGTTTTCAGATTTAGCAGTATAATTATAAATAACCCAGGGATCAAGGGAGAATTATAATAGAAGTTAGACAATACTTTGAATTTATAAAAAACAAATATGAAATGTCAAAAACAGTCTGATGCTATTAGAGTGTTAGTCTTGAATATATGTGCTGGAATAGACCAAAGATTGAATATTAACAATGTACGCATCTAGAGAA